TAATCTTGCATTTCTTAATGAGATCTTTTTTCTGCTTTATTATTGTTATCAAGGAAATAATGCATCTTAGGAGCACTCGAGTAAGATGACTCTCTTATTGTGGATCTTCAAACTTTTGACAAATGATCACATCGATTTTATTCAAAAATTAATAAAAACGACTAATAGAAACTTTCTAATAAATTTGATATCAATTTTATTTTAATTTCTTTTTTTATTTTATTAATAATTATTCGAAAAACAACGAAAAGACACTTAATATAAACTTTTATTAAAAAGCACAAGAGTTTTTAGTTTCTTCTTTTAATGATCAATAACATTCTTGCTTTGCCAAAGTTTACTTTTCAAGAAGAAATTTTCTTTTGCGCAAGGTTAGAAAGCGCGTTGTCTTGAACGGATTCATAATCTTGTCCTAAGGATTTTGAAATATTTTGTTTGCATTTAGGGTATTTTTGTTCTTACGGAAGCTAGATAATCAGGGAAGAATGGTGCTTATTATACGCCAAAAACAACAGAATCCGGATGTGCAAAAATTATTGGACTTAGTCAAGGTATGGTTACTATTATGACACCTGAACCAATTTACGGCTGCGAGTATCGTCGTAATAAATCGAAGCCATATTTTCGTTTCGTGTCTGTATGTTTCTCAATTAACGAAAAACATTTTTCACAGATCGGTATAATGATTATGGATGTGATAACGAAGGTTTACGTTCCACTATCCTTGTATGGTATCACGTTGTTCATAGACTTGGACGGCGTGACTGCGCGTTACTTGAAGCAATTGCATCCCCGCATCGTGATGAATATAGTTCACGCATGGCAAGGTTGCTATCCTATCAGACTCCGATCGATTAATTACATCAACGCGCCGATGTATGTTCACATAGGTATATCGATTTTCAAGCATTTCATGAACGAGAAGTTGAAGCAAAGATTGCATGTCTATACACCCAATGAAACTAAGATGCATAAATGCTTCGAAGATATCCCGGCTGATATCCGACCGCTCGAGTATGGTGGCACCGATAGTACAGCCCAAGAAATAGCAGGTAATTACAATAATTATAAGCAAAACGATAGGCGATTGCGATACACTATGTTAGTGAAGAATAGAGAATGTTTCTATTAAACAATAAAAGATTGCTCAACTTTCTGCATCTAGAATTGCAATATTTAATTAAAATAAAACATCACGCGCAACGTTTGCGGCTGATATGACAATTTGATCATCGAATCGGCTTTGTATATTTGTATAATTCAGATAAAATATAATTTAAATCAACGTTTATGTGTTTGCAGAACATACAAAGAAACTGGTCGAGAAGTATCACGATTGGTTTATCGATGATGAAAAATACAAAATTATTTCTAAGCAAGTAATTGGAGATAAGTCACAATTAAATGATAATTCTACGAATAAACAAAAATAGAATAGAAATTGCGAAAAATCGAAAAACATGGATTAATTGGCGATGAAACTATACTGAGCGAAGAATAGAGATGTGATTGTCATTACGATGCAACGAGTAAAATGGGATTGAAACTTTCTCAATTTTGTTTATATAAGTAAAATAAAATATACATTTTTTATACACGTGTTTTTACAAACTTTTCTTTTGAATCGCATATCTTCGTTGACTATCGGACAATTTTTTTTTCTTCTTTGTCATTGACGAATTTTCGATGGCGCATGCAATTTCTCTTTGACAAGAAATGAACAAAGATCTACGCATAAAAAAAATTGTATTTTACAAGCGAAAAAAAGAAAACAAAGACTAATGATTTATCTCTACATGAAGTGTATTCAATATTGAAATTTTATGTAGACATAAATCAGCGATAGTTATTTCTGTAATCACACGAATTATATATATTACCGTGTATCTTGCAATTTTCTCGTATGCTACATAATTTTAGTCAATTTTTATGCTGTCCTCGTGTTCATGCGCAGACAAATCGTAAATTCATTAATCAGAGATAACGATTCGATATGATGTTACATTTTATTTGTGACAAGTTTCGTTATATCTCGGGAATATGCGGTATAAAATAATACGGTAAATAAAACGTAAACGTAAGGTAAATACTCTCTAGCCACGCGACACTATTACTCCCCCCTTTCGTTCCTCCTTCTTTCGCGATCTCGTTATGAAAGTTAAATAAAACGTATGTATTTAAGTCATGGGCAAGTAAAATTGCGCTACGATTTATAACCAGCTATATATCATTACCTACATTATAACTTATAAACTCTTATTAGCATCAACTATACACGATCCCGTTTAATTCGGGATCGATTTTACCAGGTTTCCCCTCCACCGTGCCAAATTTTCGTATGGCTTCGTAGAGGTGTTATATCGGACGATTATGATTAGTGAGAGGATTGCACGCGGTCCAGCGACAGCAGCATCGCGCTCTACCGTCCGCGATGCAACGTAAACAGCGTTATTCGCGATATCTCGGACGCGAATAAATCACACGATAAAAGGGAATAAAATATTATATGTTATCTAGTGTAACATGCAGAGTACGCACTTTTTATCGAATTATATTATCGATTTATTATATAAATCACGACGAAACGTTTCAAAGTATTGAAGTATTTTACTTTATCAGTTTGCTTCTCTATAGCAAATGATTTTATAATTAAAATTTTCCATTTTTAGAGGAAGTTCAATTTTATTGAAACAAACTTACTTTCTATTGTACTCTCACACAATTCGGCTTTTGTATCTCCTCTATTCTATTCCCATCGATCGCGATTCTCGAGAAGATTTGATAGAGAGAAGATTCACAGAGAGAACTCTGTGGATCCGCGCTATTTTTTACACAGATGCTGATTAAAAATATAGAGACAAATTTTCTACGCGCTTTTGCAAGGCAAACGCGACAGTCTCGCGCACACTATTTATTATTCCATCATACATACAACACAGGCATACATACGCGCATTTTACAAGCATCAAGTGTACACAGGAGCATCACATGGATCAAAGGTTCATTCATGGAGAATGCTGCGAGATCGTATCGGCGACGCGTCGACACCTGGAATCGAAGCCGATCGAAGATACAGGTATACATTATACGGATGCTGGTTTGAGTAATAACGGTAGTTCAACAAAGATCTTTTTGGATGCTAACCGACGTTTTTTGGATAATAGAAAGAGATTCTTTTTGGATAATAGAATTTCTTGATGCGCTCGAAAAAAGAAATCCCTTGGCCAACAATATTTACTCGCATTCATTGTTATAATCTTTGCCTCAATTTTACATAACTCTTCTACATAATTCTACTAACTACATTACCTTAATTTTAACTAGCTATAATACGGATAAACACGCAAAGAAGACTTTGTCTTAAGGATCGCTTCGGTGCCAGGTGAAAACACGAATCTCCCGATTGACAATCCTGATCAATTCTTCGCGACATCCGTCTTGCATCCGTCACACACATTCGTTCATTTTGCCATTTCGATTCGTTCAACTTCCGGGAACACTTTCTCCCTGATTCAGCATTCCCGCGTTCCGTCTTCGCGAAAAGAAATTGTTCGCAAAGCACTATACACCGAATACAATCTGAACGCGAGGATACGAGTTATCCGGGTTATCCGCGCTTGAACCTTAGTACGACGAGACTTATCGTGAGAAACACGACGATCCAGATGATGGTGGAGAAGAAGCCATTGTGGACGTTCGATTCTTTTATGCCCCAGCCACGAGTCAGCATTGAGCGTAGAGCTGTCGTTGCCATTGTGAGCGGCAAACCTTGTGATACGTATCGCAGGAACGTCGGCATGCCCTCCACCGGCCATATTACACCTACAAACCGGGAAATGTCGCCATTTATTATTGTCGTCGATTAAATGCTACGTAAATAAGCATATTTATGCATTTACTTTTAATAATTGGAAAAATTTTATTTTTTCCTTTTTTCTTTCTTTTTCTCTTTCCTCTCTTCTTTCTTTCATTTTTAGAAAAGAATTCTTCAAACTAATTATAAGGGTATTAAATTTACACTTTTCAAAGTGTCGATATATATATTTACAAATATATATTCCATTTTCCCTTTTTTTATTTAATTTTTCTTAATTTAGTTGAATATAATTTTTTGTGCATTCTTATTTTCAGTAATAATTCTTATATTTCTATTCTTTCATTTTGAAAGAATTTTTCGAGCTTTTCACGAATGCTTAAAATATTCAGAATATTAAGTTTACTTCATGTAAGAAGAGTAAAAGAGCCATTTGATAACTTAGTAGCAAGAATAATTAATACATGATATCGGAGTGAGATATAATCGCGTGAAAGTTTGTTCCATTTTACGAAAAAAATTTTTCAAGCAATCGCGATTCAAATACCGTTCTGCGAATAAAGAAAGAAAAAGGAGTTTAAACCAGGTATGTGATTATCTTTTAAATAAATGTTTCGATATTATACGTACCGCTAAGAAGAAGCGTGGGATAGAAGCTGCCGAGAGCTAACTGGATGGCATTCCTTTCGAGTTCGCAAATCGCCGAAATTAGGAACCCTGCAATAACGGGAAAAATCCTGATGATAATGTGTCTTCCTTTTGGTTCTTGATTCTGGTCGCTCGTAAAAATGCGATCGTGTATCTTTTATGTGATCGCTTATATGCACTATTTTTGCGCTTGTTTTGTATGCACTCTTAATTTTTATATATACATTTATATCGTTTTTATTAAATTCCGATTCTTTGGAAGAAATCGTATTTTTCTCGCAAATCGTAATATTTTGCAACAAACGACCGAGTCTTTTTAATATCATAAACGGATAACTGATGAATGTTCTTTGACGGTTTTTCAGAATCAGAATCCGCGTTTCTTAAAAAATGCCTCCGTCCTACTTATTTCTATTTATTAAAAAAACATAAATGAAAATAAATGAAGAGACAAAACGGGCCAGAAAACTAATCGTCGTCTATTTGCTATTTCATTTTAACGGATATACTCTTCGTGAATTATCTTGTAGAATCGCCTTACCAAAGCACATGCCGCAGAGTCCTTGAAGTATCGTCAATATGATGACCCAGCCGAGAGGGCCTTCGCATTCGACGTCAAATACCAGAATCATGAAGATCAGTACTAGAGCCGTCTGGCCACACATCACTACGAATTGCGTGACCACGTGAGAGAATAGAATCTCGCTGGGCGACACGCCGGCCACCCAGCTTCGGTCCAGAAGGCCCTCCATTCTTTCGACGATCAATGCCGATGACGTCAACGCGACCGCCAAGAAGAAGACAATGCTATTAACGGACAAAAATCAAAATATTGAAACTGTGTCTGTGTAGAACATCATTGCGAAGTATCTTACACGCGAGGAAAGATTTAATCATATTAAAATTTTAATTATATTTTAAAAAGAAAGAGAGAAAGAAAGATGGAAAAAGCGAATTAAATGGCTAGTTTGATTAATTATATTCTAGAAAGAAAGAAAAGAAATAAAAAAATAAAATAAATTGATTTATTTAAAATTAATAATCATATAATCAAATATTAATAAGCTTACGTCAATATTACACCCGGTGCTACAAAGTCCGTAAAACTAGGGTCATTGGAACCATAAATGGGATCTTTGAATTGAATTGGTATGTCAGCCAATTTTGCATTCTGATTACAGGAGGATAAAAGATCCTTGGCAAAATCTCTGTACGAGTATTGAAGATCTCTCGCTAGCATCAGACCTATTTGTTGATCTGCAAGAACAGCACGGATTCATGACAAACTGTATCGAAATGTATAGTTATTAACATGACGATATAGAAAGATTATGTAAATAACGTATTGATCAATAGCTGATACTTGAGCAAATACACGTGTAGAGCTACACTTGCGAAAAGAAACGGAATAAAGTTCGTCACACTTAATTGTTGCATCATAAATGAATAAAATATGCGTAATATCCATCAAGTAACACTTATCAAACATGATAAACATATTAATATATGCAAATATATTTAATTGTAAGTAATATTTTGCAAATAAATGAGATACGAATAAAATATCTATAAAGTGAAAGAGCCGCAATTAAAACATTTGAATTTGGCTTTAATTATTCATAGAATTTTATTAATGCCTTGATCTTTAAATGAGACTTACTGGACATGTCCAGCCAAACTCTGATCTCACTTTGATCGAGAGTTTCATCATCGGAATCTTTTCCTAAGGCCATTCTCGCCACGAGAGCGTCCGTAAAGTTTTCTGTAAAGTACAAAGTGCCCCAAACCTCTCCCTTGCGCACGGCGTCCATCGCTGTGTCCAGATTTTCATAATATTCCTATAATATAAAATATGAAATATAAAATGAAGAGAATTATCCATATATCCATCTATTATACACTTACGTTACAAATCAGTTTCTATTTTTAATTTAGCCATTTTTAGAAAACTGTATCTTAAAATATTTCATCTATTATATTATATTGCGTTATGTATAATAGCATATATTATATATTCATGTATATAATTGAGATACTCGCCTTTGTAATCGTATCCTTATCCAGAAAATTGAGGTATCGACAACTGAGATATGTGAAGCTGCAATCCGTCGCGAGGGGGCACGTCATATTATCATAAAACATTTCCTTATTCACTATAGCCAGTTTCAGATCCTCGGGATCTCTCCCGATTGCCAGGCAGAAAAGAATCACTTGCATCACCGGCAGAGCAAAGATGAACAGCATCACGCTGCGGAAAGATAATTTATTGCGTCGCGATATTAACATGCTATTATACACATTCAGGTAATTGTTTATTTAATATTTTTTTTTTTTTTATGAAACCTTACTAATTTATTTATGTATCAATATCTGTGAATAATATACACACATATGTGTGTTCTATTTCTTTTATAAAAATATTACAACAGAAAATCTTAAGAACGATAAAACTGAGATTAAAAGATAAAAAACTTGGTTATTGATTATTCTGTAAACAGTCTCGCGGCTAAAAACGTACCCGACGTTTCTCCACATGCGCAAGAAGTTTTTCTGCAAAAGCGCTTTGATTTTGCCCGTACTGGTGATGTTATAGCAGTTCGCAAAGTTGCCGCAATCGTCACATTCCAGAACAGATCCGCCTTTTACTTTTGATAGAGGCCTACCATTTATCTGCTTTAAAAAAAACTTGCGATTTATATTAAAATCAAGATGTGCCTTTGTATATATAATTAATTCATTTTACAAATTATATAACTCTTGAATTTCCTAATCAAAAAATTCGAATCATGATAACACGTATTCTCTTTAAGAACTATTAATATAACTATTAATTATAATAAATTAAAGTACTATGCAAAGCTATCTCGAGTTTAAAAGGCATCGACAAGAAAAATACACGTGGATTAAGGAAGAAACGAAAAAAGAAGCGCGCGTATATGTGTCGCGGACATTGAGTGAGTGTAATTCACCGTGAAGTGCAGTGAATGAACCTCTTACATCATAGTGATTCGCTATTCCATTGGTAGAGTCATAAATCAGGGCCTCTTTGCTTTGATGGAAATTGAGACCGACGACACCGGACTCTTCCGTCACGTATACTGGCTCGTCTTTCTTACCCCAGTTTAGAGGAGCCTGTGTGCAAGGAGAAAAAAAGAGGCGTGGCAAATAGCAATAAAACGATGTGATGACATTTGGTGTGATTGATGCAAATCAAACGATAAAATTAGCTACGAGGCACAGAGGGAGATTGATAACAAATTTCTTGCGAATATACGCGACACGAGTCGACTGTGCGTAATAACTAAAGAAAAAGCGAAGATATATTTAATAAAGTAATATAATATTGACGTTATCTTTTTGACATATAATGTAATAACATAATAAGAATTCAGACACAGGAATTAACGAATGCAATAAGAAATGAAAAAAAAAAAAAAAAGAAATTTGAAAAGTAATTAAGTTTGAAAGTGAAAAATTGATGGTTACATTAAAGAATATTTAGATAGTAGCAATAGCGGGCATTTATATATACAATTGACAGACATAAAAATTGAAACACTTGCATATTCATATTGGTTGCTTTTCACACTGTGCAACGTGCTGTAAGTTTGTCTATAATATCTTAAATTTAAAATTGTTCGGAACAAAATGTGTGCGAGACAATGCACGAATAAATAAAGAAAATATTTTTTTAAATTTTCATGCTTACCAAACTGATATTGTTCGAAATGTTTAACTGCGCTGGTGCTGCGCTTTGGCCTTGCTGTCTGGACAGTTTCAGGAAGACCTCTTCAAGGGAGGCGCAGTTGTATATTTGCATGAGTGTATTGGGTGCCTCCTCGGCCAACAATCGGCCGCTCCTCATCAAGCCGATCTGTTAACGAAACCGTTTTCTTTTCTATTATTCTCAAATCGTGCAAAAAAATGGTCATTCTGAAGATAACTCTATAGTTTACTGTCAAAATATCTACTATAAAAGTATAAATTTACGTGAAGCATAAAAATAATGAAAGTTTACATAAAACAGAGATGTTTAAGTATTGTTCCAGTTTTTATACATATTATATATTATTTGAATAAGTTTAATATTGCAACTTATTTTGTGAATTTTCATTGGCAGGAGAAAAATGCTGGATAAATTTTCCTCTATTCAACCAAAGCATTCTAGTACGATTTATCGCAAGATAGGCGAATTATTGGTAAAAAATCGAAATCGATCTCCGAAGCGGTTGCACTGTAATTTGTGTCTGGCGTAATATGCAGGTGGAATAGCTAGCCAATGGCACGATAATAACGTGCGATCTGTCAGCAAACGTCAATCATTAGCAAAACTTGTTATTAATATGTTGTGAGAATTTCTATGTCGATTTGTTTACTGATTGTGTCTTTTCAAGTACGTCAGCTTTTTATGTATAGATGTTCGGATTTTATCAATGCGTTGACTAATTTTTATCATATATTAACATAAAATTGTTGATGATTATTTTTACTTTCAATGTTTCACAAAAAAGAGTTGATTCCGTTAGAATTAAAATTAAACGATGTTGTTAAAATCATGATGTCTAATCGATTGATAATAACATCTAATTACGACATTACCGTGTGCGCTTGTCGAGCCTCTTCGATGTAATGCGTCGTTATGATGACCGTCTTGTTACCGTCTTTGGTAATTTGAACCAGATGGTTCCATATGCTATAAAAAATGAAAGACGTTTTTCAATTATATGTTCCATATATTTTTGATATTTTTATATAATTCTGTGATTCGGACGACATATTTATATTAAAAAATATACAAAGAAAGAGGAAAAGAAAAGTAAGGAGAGAGGAAACACAAATATATAATGCATAATTCTAAAAATACTAATTAAATATATTACACAAGACTCAAGCTCGCAACAATTTCGGATTAAAGCTATCATTTCTAATTATTTCTCAATCGGAAATTTGCATGATTATCATACATATATATATATTTTACATACATATATGCATATATGTGTGTGTGAGAGAGAAAGAGAGGCTCATGTATTATTTATTATTATATTTATATATGATGATCTACGCACGATTCTTGCGCGATTTTTCAGCGTTTCTGACACTTTAATCCTTGTAACAAAAATTCTAATACAATCGGCATCTCTATAAATAAAGGACTTGTTATTGAAAATAAAGAGAAGTGGTGTGTGAAAGATATACGTGTATAGAAAAATATCTAAACAACATCTTCACTTTTCATAAACCGGCTAATTTTTTCAGCTAACAGCCATCTTACACGCACAATGTTGAGAAAAATCGTGAAACATTTATAAAACCAGACCATAACCAAGTAAAAGTTGAAAGTTGCTCGATGCAGACACGCTTAAATCTACCATATTACGTTACTGAGATATGAATATTAGAGGATTAATTTTTTTATATGCTCATGGAAAAAATTAATTTTTAAACTAAAATTTATTGAAGAGGTAATCTACTCAATAAAAAATTAGTATACAAACATAATTTTTTTCCACTAACAAGAATCGATTTATTTTTTATGAAATTTTGATATCTTAATCTCTTGTTTACTATTTGATATCTTGTCTATTATTGCATATATTTATTATATCATATTAATATGCCATTTGAGTAAAAACAATTTCAAAAATTAAATATGCAGTTTAATAAAGCGTAGAAAACACATTAATTAAGCTACATAGTTAATATAATTTAACAAGCAATCAGAAATCCGATAGCGACAAACAAAGCGAGATAATTGATTAATGCAAATTGCAAATATATAGCGGAATATAAAATAAATAGTAAAATTAAATCCATAATAAAAAAAGTCTTGACTTTTTTAGCGATATTCACAAGTAAAAAGTGATTGAGATTCACAAATATTTCAGGAGACAATTGTATGTGATATTTGCGAAAAGTGAATTGAAGTGTATATATATTATATAGACGGTTGTAAGAAAAACTATAAATTTTCTCAGATAATAAGGTAATGCATTTAAAACTTTGCCCCAACGCTGTGCAAATCGGTAATATATAATATTATTTCTTATCTTTTCTCTGGGTAAAATTTATTTATCTCAATGAAATGAAATCGGAAATAATCTGTATCTGCGCAAGGGTGGTATTTACAAATATTCGACTAATGCAGCAGTTCCACTTCTGAAAGTTTATACAAGTTATATTTCTGTTCCATTTACGTCACGTATAAACATGATCGACTCCACCCAAGAAATTTTCTTACGTTCCGGAGGGATATTGCATTAACGCGAAAGAAACGAATGAAAGATAGGACAACAACATGATAATTACAATAATTGATTTCCTGTTATAAAAACAAGATATTTTATTGTGGAAAATATTCGGACAATTATCCGCTGCATTTATTTCCGAAAACAAGTGACAATTTTCTTTTTACGGGAAAGCAAACTCTGCTTTTCCATAAAATCAAAAACGTTCTGCAAAAATTCCGCAACTACCGTACCATCAACAATTTGCAGTATTTGCAAATTTATGCAGAATGACTTTATCCGTTATTTTAACATGGTATTTGTGATGGTTTCTACAAAATAATTTTCTAAAGTTTTTTTTTCTGCTCTTTAGAATTTATTCTTTAAATCTGTTATTATTCACGACGTGTTTTAGATATGTTTTTAAGCTAAAAACTTTGTATAGTCGCGACTTAACATACTATTGTTTGAAACCTTTCATTTTCACATGAATAAATGTGTATTTATAAATGTTTCAATGAAATATTTATCGTGCTTTTATGTCAAGAGCCGGGTTTTACATGACGGGAGTGAGTCATAATTGTTGTTGGACGTTACGATCATTAAAAACGGATTTAGGCTCTAATCGATTAATATTTCAGAACTCAAAGTCTAATATCCGAAAATGGAATTTGAACGCCAGAAACCATTCCTTCCAAACAAGCATTAGAATGTAGTTAGTAGTAGAGTTTCGAAGGTCTAATTTAATATTAGATAAATATAGAAAAATATTGATTAGAAAAATGTGATTAAAGCGTTTCGACAGATTTTTTAAAATTTTTGTTGGAAGACGATAGATATATGATTTGTAGTAAATAAGTAAATGCTTAAGAGAATGAAATATTATATATATATATATATATATTAATAAAATAAAAATAATTTTAATTCAATATTTTTAAGACGATTTTTAAAGAACAGTCTGGATCCACAATCGTGTTATATTAGACTCATTGTTCAAACTGAATATTTAGATTGCAGCATTGATGATTTATGATCTATCTAAAATATTTATAATTTAACATTTAAATCGTGACCAACAATACTGAATTTATGCATCTTATGATTTTTATTAGCGCATGTATATACTTTCTCTAATGATTGGAAGATTATACAGAAGGTTTATCCAGAAGATAAGTTACGGTCTGTCACATTATTTAATTGCACTAATTGTAAGGAGCAACACAAGGTTAATCATTGTGACGCGATTATCGTACGCACAAGAGTCAGCTGTTTCTCTCAGTTACTGCATTTGTATATTGAATTTAATAACGATGTTTTCTAACAAAATTTATCTTAAAACATACGAGAAGAAAGAAAGCCACGTACCTTTGTCTTAATAGAGGATCTACACCTACGGTCGGTTCATCCAAAATCAACAATTCCGGATCGTGCATAAGTGCCACAGCGAAGGACACTCGCCTCTGTTGACCGCCACTAACATAAAGAGATAATATATTAATATTAATATGTTATAGTCATGCAAAAAAATTTTTACAATGAATTTATTGTAAGCGAAACAATCAACATTTATATTTTTGCGGCAATTCGTAAAGTTGTCAAGCAGTAGATATGTAAAACGCAATATTTCGAGAACAGTTTAACGATTAAAATTCCATGTTGAAACGCGAATGACTAATCGTGAAATAAATATTCAGTTCTTGCCTCAAAAGAGACGTGTAACTCGCAAAGTTATAACGTTCTGAAAATCCACAGTTCTCTCAAACGCAGACATAATCGAGAGATGCTCTTTGCACGCGAATGCGTACCTGAGATTCTTCACCAGACGATTTTGCGACGGCAGATCGAGAAACTGCAGCAAGAAGCGCAGCCTCTCAACAATCTCGGCCGTGCACATTCCGAATATCCAGCCAAAGTACATCATGGTCTCGCGGATGGTGAACTCGCCGTAGAGGGCAATCTCCTGCGGCATGTAACCGACTCTCTTGCCGGGCACGCCGGAGCCCTTCGTCCCGGGTTTACCGCCCAGCACCCAGATCTCGCCTGAATTCAATCTTCGTCGGCCGACGATGCAGGACAATAAAGTGGTTTTGCCGCATCCGCTGGCGCCCAGCAGCCCGTATCTAGTACAAATAATTTATTTTGTCGATATATATTCGTTTAAATTACGGTGAGCAGATGAAAGATTTGCTGGAAAAAAAAAGACACTTGAATTTGACTAAAGAATCTCATATTGACTAGAAACTTTTAGAGTATTCCGTATAGAAGACTTCAATCACTTCAGACTGACGGGAGAATAGCTTGGCATGGATGATAAATATCTTTGCGCGTATTCTATTAAAGATATCTCAGCCTTCGGAATTATAGTTTTGAATGTGAATAGACAGATCGGCCGCTCGCGGCGAGCATCATTTACATTTGCAATTTTCATCGATATGCTAACGAAAGCGTACTTAGCGCACTTGAAAGATTCAGGATCCTTGAAGTATAGGTAAAATGTAAATACCTGTCGAGGATTTATTTATTTATAACTGGTTCTGGAGAGACTCGTCGCCGGAAATCGAATGATAAAAATGTTTGCATGACTGATAAGCGCTCGCAGGAGTCTCTCTCGTCAAACGAAACGCAAAACGAGCCTCGCGACGTGTCGTGAGACATAGACACGTGGCTCGTCAAGAATTCGTTGAAGCAAGCACAATAAACGAATAATCAAATTTAAATTGCAACGACGGGTCAGCTGAAGGCTGAACGCAAAGTGTACGTGACGTAACTCACGACGAGGTAAATGGAAATTGAGAACATGGCCTGGGACGTTGCCTTCATGCCGAAGTGAATCACGAGAAATTGTCTCATCGACTCTCTCATGCGCATTATATCTTCTCATATACAGAGTGTCCCCAATTTAAATGTCAAAACTTTAGGAGCGTGTAGGGGACCGATAAACTAAGACAAAAAGTCCTTTAGAGATTTGCTCGTTTTTGCTTCGTTTTGAAGAAAATCGCAAAAAATGAAAAATTTAATTTTTACCAAAAAACTTAAAACAACACTAAAATTATTAGATTTATCAAAAAGTATTATAAAATAAAAATTGTAGAACATGGAATTAAGAAAAGAGAGTGAGTTAAAATTTTCCTGAGGTAAAATTAGAGGATTGTAGATAAATACGCGACAACGCAAAATTTTGTTTCTAATCTAATTTTACCTCAGGAGAATTTTAACTCACTCTCTTTTCTTAATTCCATATTCTACAATTTTTATTTTATAATACTTTTTGATAAATCTAATAATTTTAGTATTGTTTTAAGTTTTTTGGTGAAAATTATTTGTTTCACTTTTTGCGATTTTCTTCAAAACGAAGCAAAAACGAGCAAATCCCTAAAGGACTTTTTGTCTTAGTTTATCGGTCCCCTACACGCTCTTAAAGTTTTGACATTTAAATTGGGGACACTCTGTATAAAATATTTCTACGTCTCATCGTCCTTTCCTTCTCTTCCGACAAAACTCTTTTTCAAGTGTATGGATTTTCCCCGATGAAAATTTGATGAAAGCTATGATTATTTAATCAAGGGAGTGGACAGACATTTCTGTCTGTTATTAACGTAACTAATGAAACAAATAAGGAAAAAGATAAAATTTTATAATTAAATTTGAAATAATTGCTAATTAGAATGTCGACGATAAAGAATTGTGATATTCTTTTTATTATTATTATTATTAAACGGGAAGAGATTCCGTAAGATTATTGGAATTATATTACGCAATAGTTAATCGCAATACAAGAGAGATCAATTTATTATAAGAAATATCGATACGCGCTTTCAACGCAATCAAAACATTAATTAGTTCAACATTAAATCTATGAATATATAATCAATAGCTAATATAGAACGGGCATTAATAAAATTGATCACAAATAGTTCTAATTAAAGTCTTATATAAACGGTCATTATATTCAAGCAATAATAATCTTACAACAATTTTTATTAAAAATTAGATCTGAGAGAGAAGAAAAATGTCTATGATCAAACACAGAATACGCCGTATACAAAATAATATAATAAAAACAAAGCGTTTTTTGCGATGTTTCTTACAAACTCGTTTTTTGCATCGCAAACGAAGGACATTCTCTTGTAAGCGGTAAACATTCAGACAGAAATATTAATTATTATCTGAAATGCGAGAGAAGATCAGGAACGCGAGACATACTCGATCAATGTCCGTATATTTTTTAAAGGAATCGACATTATTTAAAGAAAACACAATTAAAATGCCAACTCAACAAAAATAAAAAAGAGAATGTTCTTTACAAAATTAATATTGATACAAACACATTTTCATCGGATATCGTCAGAACGAAATCAATTTAGCGAAATTGTCGAAGAGAAGGATTTCTGACAGAAAGAGAGAGGGGTGAGGGGGGAATTAAAATTGCCACAGGTACGGAAACTCATCAGAATATTTAAAATAAGCCTACTTTGTTTCGAAAAGTCTTAAATATTTCGAATCGTTATCATTGTTCGATAAATACTAAAAATTTACTAAAAATTTCAAACAGATGTGCTCTAAACGTTACTATTCTCAGTTCAATACGCGTTATATTCTACAAATGTTGGCTCCTGGCATTTCTAATCTGCGCCCTAAATTATTATCTCAACTTTGCGGCTTGTAACACACGCGAAAAACATATAATCGCGTATCTCGATCGCCTGGCAATTACGAAACGAATTCCGTAATGATTATAATGGAAATGATTTTTTTTTATAAACGTTTCAATTTCCTGGTAGCCGCATAGACTACATTGTTGTTTCACATGTTACGGAATAACTATTGCAAATAATCCTTTATCATAATTGTGATCTAGCAATTTGAGACACAGTTGGCTCGAATGAAAACGCGCGTTAATTAATGCGCGTAACATTGCACTGGTTAATTATCGTTCCAATAAACGATAGGTCGTTAAGATAGAAAACGAGTTTCTTGTATCGCTTTCTCAATGCAGTGTATTTAGTCATATAAATAATGTATTCAGCGGAAAGACATAAATGCTCAATTTTGCAATCTCGATGGCAAGATATGTGAATTTACAGTGTGCAATGTGACGAACGCCATGATATAATATGGGAATATAAAAGAATCTACATTACTATTATCATTTGATTTATGTAATTAATAGTAATAAATCAGTTATATAATTTATATTATATTATAACATTTTTTCTAGACGTTTATATAATATTAATATTGTCTTTATTTTATTTAGCTTGCATTAAATGCATTAAAAACTTATTTGTTATATATATGAAATTATTTGATACATACTTGATATACATATAAAAAAATTAACGAGTTTTCTAATCAACTGCATGCATTTAATGCAAATTAAACAATGAAAACGATAGTAATATTTGATTATTATTAATTATAAATAAAAAGAACACATATAAAATACAGATTTCTTGTCCATATTTCATATATACATGTATAATATTTTATAATGTTTTGTTGCAGAAATTTTATGCCCCGCTTAATTAATGAAATAATTGATATACTTACATGGAGCCTTTGGCTACGGTCATATTGAGATTCTGTAAGATATGATTCGGATTCTTAGCGCTGCCGTAAGTCTTGAAGGCATGCCTAACGCTAACGGCCTGTTGACGATTCCACGTGGGGTTGTTCAGGCCCGGCGTCGCCAGGTGAACGGTGCTCGACGTCACCGTCGTCAGGTCCACGGTGGCATCCGTGTTGTTCTGCATCGTCGTCGCGTTTGTGAGACCCGCGGTACCCGCACCACCGTCGCTGAAACACGAACGAGCATGACGTTAACGAGAGGATCGCGTAGTCAGAAATCGCACGCGCGATTACCGATGCAGAAGGATGTCGACAAATCGCGTGCGACGTCTTGTGCAATCTTGTATACGATGCCGATGGTCGCGGTCGGCGAAGATTTCTTTGCGCGATCGCTCGCAAAGTGCTTGTGATGCGTCGCGTACAATCGTGATGCAAAAAATATTTTCTAGATGAGGCTAACTGCGATTCTAAAAATGAATCATGCTCCTTTTCGATAACAAGGAGATTAATGCAATTTAGTCAAAAATTGTGGAGACAATTTTTTTATCTTAAAAATTAGATTTCTCTCTCTGAATTCTCTTAAAGATAGAGAAAGGTGCTCTTTTCTAAAGATTTATAACTTGCAACACTGTATCGACACGTCGCCTTATTACAGCATATCCAACGTCTTCAAGAAAAAAAAAAAAAGAAAAAAAAGTTCAAAAGCGCATCTGCGAAATCATCACGTATTAAGGTACCTTTACATGGCAGCATTAAGCGTCGAGCGTCTGCGCAGAAAGATGCGCAGAATTTAAAAGAGATAGATTCTAGGCTGAAATTAGATTCTGCGCAATTTTCTACGCAGACGCT